GATTCCTCTTCATCTCACACTTGTAATTATTCAGACTAAATGGCCCAAAACCTATTTTTCCTTTTTACACATGTGACTCCAGTGGTTGTGTGTTTGAGTGGTGAGCTGCAGTGACAACAACTCGCTCCTGAGCCTGAATGCATCCTGTGAGGAGCCACACGAGGCGCGGAGGCTGCTCTGCTAACACGCCGCTCCTGCTGCGCCTCCTGCGCAGACACGGACTCATTTTCCCCCAGTTTAACGCTCCCTCTCTTTGCACAGTGTCAGAGCTGTAATAAGTTACCTCTAAGCAAAGTGATCATCCTGCCGCCACAGCTCCGCATGACAGGTTGGTTGAGCAGCAAAAATTCAAGGGAAACTTTCTGCTTTGTGAAGACTTCTACACTCACAGAGCGTTTTAGTAGATGCACTTCACCCGCTCATTCGTGCCTCACTCTGATCAGCCAATCATGCGGCAGCCGAGCGATTCATAAAGTGCAGATACAGATCAGGAGCTTCCGTCACATTAAATATCTAAATGGGATCAAATTGCAGCGACTCTGAGCGCGGCCTGATGTCTGTTAGAAAGGGAAGATTGTTGAAGGTCTCTGGAGGTGTTTCTCAGAACGGCCAGACTTTTTCTGCGTTGACAGCTACGGCGACTCAGTCCCAGTCACTCTTTACAACTGAGAATCATCTCAGGGTTTACAACGTGAGCTACAACAGCAGAACACCACGTGGGGTTCCACTCCTGTCGGCCAAGAACAGAAGACTGAGGCTGCAGTCTGCACCAAACCTGGGGTTGTCTGGGAACAGCAATGGACACAACCTGCCTCGTGTCCACGCTCCAAGCTGGTGGTGATGCAACTTTGCGGACAAATCCTTCTTGGCACACTTTAGAAAATTAAAACATCACAAAACAAGCAAAGTACTCGTGTGAGTGGACAGGGATGTAATCTGGAGCTCCGGTTCTTAACTCAAAACATTTCACCTAGTTATTTAAATCATGATGTGCCAAATTTACTTGTTGCCACAGTTTGGAGGAGTTCCCAGCCCCCGGTCCCCCAACTGTGTGCGGACATGACTCTCTGGACAATGTCCGCAGCTCGTGGAAGGAAAAAAAACTACGGCTTTCATCACTGTTGGTAAAACTGTAGCGGTGTGAGCCAAAGGGGGCACAGCGGGGTTCACAGAGAGGGAGGCCTGTCATCAGAGGTGGGAACACATGATACAGCCGCTCGATATTGATACTGCTGGCAGAGGATACATCGGTATCACGTAACGATGCCTGACACAGTTCCAAAGACACATGTCCTCTCAGTGTGAGTAAAGTCCACATCTTTACAAAGTTTTCTGAAGTGGTGGGAAGCCAGAGCAGCAAGTCAAGAGGGGAAATGACAGAATGATGGTGTTGAAGAGCGACACAGTGGATGCCTGAGTTTTTGAAGAAGGAAAAAAGAAAATCCAGATATTTCCCAAGTGATAACTTTTGCGTTTGAATAGAAACCAGTGTTCTCCTCCACAGAGAAGATACGTGAGTACATTCTTTCATTTACCTTTGTCCCGACACAACACATTTACCCAAAGAAACTTTTTCTTCTTCAGTTTAACCTTAGTTGTGCAATCTTGATATGAGATATGTGAAGCCCTGATAAAGCCTGGTCTTAAGGATTTACAGTTTGTCACAAAATATTTCTATAAAATGGCTTCTAAATAAAACAGGATGCAGCGAAGTCAACATCCACTGTATAACATCTACACAAGGGGATTTGGGGTTTTTCAGTCATCTCTTTACTAAGTGCCACAGTTCTGAGCTAATTTCCGTTGAGAATCTCCCGACAAAACCGATGGATATTATTATGAGACCTAAAACGCTCATTTTAATTGGAATCACATGCAAATGCCACTTAATTCTGCATTAATGCCTGAAAATATTCATTACGCTGAGAGCGATATTGCTGCTGCAGACACAAGAGGTGTAATGAACGATGGGAAATGACATTCTGCCGACACGCAGCCAAGTCACGCAACGCTGGAGAAGGATAAATTCAGTGTCACACACACACTCCGGCGTGCAGCTCTTTGGTTTGTTGAAAGGTAGCAGCACCATAAGGCTCGTCTTCATCTGTCATCTCACACTGCGAGAGGTACAGTAGGTAAGTCACTGTTTAAACTTCCTGTGCTTCTGGAGAAAAAAGTTTTCTGCTTTGAGGACGATCAGTGCAAAAGGTAACAGGGATGGTGTGACAGGAATAAGACTTTTCAGATATTCTGCAGACGCCCGACTCTCTTTTTGTACTTCTCGTTCACTGACTCAAGCTGACAACACATGAGTGAGATGGAGAAAGTATGATCCAATTGTTTGCAAGTGAAGTTTGGGGCAGGACAACATTATCCACCATCCATAAACCACCTCATGCATGAACTGATATTTCTCTCCAGCTGGTCAGAACTGTCAATTCTAACAATTCCTTGCTGGAATCTTAGTTTTTCTTTCCCCAGCTTAAAACTGAAAATGACTTTATCTGCAACAAAACAGGTTCGACTGAAGTTAATTTATTGGCGCCGGGCTGAGTTCACAGCACTGATTCTGCATCCAGCCAAGCAGCTCAAACCGCTCACCGTGTGTTGCTGGCTTCACGCTCATTCGATCACTTGCCGTTTTGTGCACTGACGGAGGGTTTGGCTACGCAGGCACAGCAGTGCTGCCTGCAATATGTGACCCAGCGCCTGCCAGGTTTTCCGCTGAGTATATTTAAATACTCATTATTTAATTTATCCCCGTGCTGTGTGACTGCTGCGCAATCTCTAGCGTTTATTTTGTGCAAAAAAGAAACTGTGCCCCCCCTTTTGTTTTACCCTAGGGGGTTTTTGATCTACTCAACAACAGGAAATTGTATTCTTTCTTTGAGAGTAGAAAATGTGGCGGTTAGAACCCCACTCCTGAAAGTTTCGACGGCTGAGTCCAAATCTGCGTCTGTTACTGAAACAATCCTCTGTGGCATTGAGTTCCCACAGATAAGGTCTGCAGCCTGCCCGCCGTCAAAACATTCCAACAGTGATGAAAGTATGAATGTAAACGTTTTCATACCAATCAATATCTCCGCCAATTTGTGCACGATTTGCCGATGGCTATTTGAACAGAGAATTGCGAGAGCCTTCAGTTAGACATGCACGTCTTCAGAGCTTGAATGAAAAGCAGCGAATACCCTTCAAAGGCACAGATTCAAGGAAGCACGTCATCAGCTGACGTCGGCCTTATTGGGATTCATGGACGGCCACGGACACAATTAAGCTTTGTTTTTTTCTCTCCTCACATCCTTTTGATCCTCGGATATTGGAGTTCTCTTCAACACGCTGGGTTGGAATTCAGCGTGTCGAGAAGAAAATTGAATTGTCCAATGAAGTGAATAAATACACGGTAATCACAGCCGGTTAATTCTCGACCATATACACCATTAAAGTGGAGATAATAAGTTAACTCCATAGTTGATTAAATTCCAAGCAGTAATTAATGGAACAACTTCAAAAGACGCGGTTCCCTAAATTTATCGTTCCTCTCATTATTCCACAATTCACCACGCAACGCTGTGACTTACGACATCACGCAGATATATTTTCAGTTTCGGAGATAAGTGCTATTTCGAGACGGCTTGGTTACGGATGTGTTGTCAGCAGCTCTGCTTTAAAACACTCAAGTCCTACTGCTTTAACGCTGATCATCACCAAACAATGGCAGCTCGCAGGAATCAGAGGAAATCAGATCCTTGTACATCCTGACTGCTCCTCGCCAGGGGGCTCTCCGCTCTCAAGCCACATGACGGGAATCTATTCTGACTGCGGTGAGTGAAATGGTAATGTCAGGTGTGTATTTAGCAAATCAGCCCAGTGCAGCCTCCCCGACGATGACAGCCGGGATAAGTGTAGCTGCCAGTTAAGGTGCGCAGACCTGGGCATGACAGAAGCCTCTTGGGTTTTCACAGCGGCGCTCCATCAGCTGACTATTAGAACATGAGCGTTTTACCACCTTCACCGAGTGAGACACAACACTGCCTGTCCAAACTCGGAAACAGGATTTAACCCACAGCCCATATCCTAATTCAATTCACAGTCAAGTGAAGAAGAAAAAAAAAACATTCACAGCATTAGTTCCATCCCCGGCCTGGTAATGATTTTAAATATTCTGTCGTCATTGTCATTATTAGATCAAACCCGCGGGCTGGAGGAACGTGGATAGTGGAGAAGCCTGGGAAGCATTAGTGTGCTAAGCACCGCTGGGATGGAAGCAGGGCTTTCCCTGTGGCTTCAGAGCGTGTCAATAATTACTATAGTGTTTCTCTGAGCTCCGCTCGCCTCGGAACCTTTGCTTCGCTGTTGGAGGTCAGTGAAATTATATCCGCTTCAGAAGTCGGCTATTGCTACTCGAGCTCGATCTGGACTGTCCGTTACTGTGAGCTCAATAAGCTCGGGAGGGTGGGGGGGTTAGGAAGGATATGTTTACATTCTATATCCTATATCTATATTCAAAAGATATAAGAGAAGGAAAACAAACAACATGAAGCTTGATGGGAGACGAGTTGTGGCGCTTGTTGACACTCGATAATAATGAGAACACACAAAAAGAAAAGCCTCAAACGATGAAGTTATCCGATAACCTTGGGAAGGGAATTAAGAAGAACGTGTTAAAATTCTATTAAAATGAAACGACAACATGAAGAATGAAGTGGGAGACGACTCAATGCTTGAAGGTTGAATCATATCTGAGGACAATTTTACATACAGTTTGTAAAGACACAGATTTGTTGATGCTCGTTAAAAAATGAGAACACACAAAAAATATGAGATGTATGGAACACCTAGGCAACAGAATGTGTCTCCATGGAGACCAGAGGAAAGTGTAGCTTAAAAGTGTTTCAACAAAACCTGCAGGAGTTTGTTGTCACATCTTTAGGTTAGTTTTTTATTTTATTTTTTTTAATCTCTTCACTTTTCCTTTTTCTTCGACTGCTCCTCTCACTCACCTGCGTTCCTGAGCTTCTTGTTCCGGTACACGGAGAAGATGACCAACAGGTTCCCCAGGATGTCCACCACGATGGTGAAGATGAGGAAGCAGCCCAAAGTTGTGGTGACCCAGGGCGGGCGGCTGAGCAGCGGGTCTGGCGAGGAGCTGTTCAGGTGGGACCCATTTATAACCATTGTAGTCGGTCACTGAACTTTTGTGTTTTTCCCCCTAATTCAACGCGCCGCGGCTCGAAGCCCGACAGCCCCAGTGCCGGTGCGTCCCCTCCTCCTCCTCCTAGCGCCTGGATGTCGGAGCCGGTGGTGGTGTTGGTGTTGGTGGGATACTACCACAGCGTCCCGCTGCTTTCATCTTCATCCTCCTCCTCCTCCTTTCTTCTTCTTCTTCTTCCTCTCTCTTCCTTGGCTCAGCTCCGGTAGTTTCCCCGGCTGTGGTGACACTCGTGCGCCCGTGTGCCATCCACTTTGTCTTTACGCGTGTGTGACATGGAGCCGCAACTTCAGCGCGTTCACCAGCATGTGACCAAAACAGTCCAGAGGGGGGGGTGTTTGTTCAGAGGGGGGAAACACTGGCGCCTGGTGGTCGACAGGGGGAAGAGCAGCTGGAGAGAGAGAGAGAGAGAGAGAGACGTGTCCCACTTCTTCTCTTCTCTCCATTTACCAGATGCGTGTTCATTCATGGCTCTGCGGTCCCGTGCTTTGCTTTATTTCAGCCCATTCATTATTATTTTTGAGGAATCATTCATGTTTTGTCTGTAACTTCTCTCCAATAAGA